CTCAAGGCCTGGTGGGCCAGGATGTGCTCCAGTCTCTCCTCATCCCCCGTCATCTGCTCCTGTGTGCTCTGGTCAGATATATCCTTCTCCGGAAGCTGCAGATTCAGTGCCATCCTTTGAAATAAATTCTTCTTGGGGGAGGGGCGGGCATCCGCTTAGTATTTGGTGCTGGGACCAGCCCCCCAGACCTCTCCACTGGTTTCACATACTTCTTTCCTTAAACACCCTTTGATCTATTTAAGTCAAGTGGGGAAAGTGGAGCAAGCAAGAGACAGGGCAAGAAAGTGCTATATTCTCTGCCTTGTTTTCCTCCAGAGGAAACACTGCCTCACAGCGCCTACATTTGCAGAGACTCGAGCAGGAGGAATCCTCAGGTGATAGACATTAGTGTGTTTCACAACAAAAATGTTAACAGGCAGGCATAAATTTATAAAATTGTGTGATTTGGTGCATCTTATCTATTCTTTAGTGAATGAGCAGCTAGCATGATGCTACGCTTAGGAAGCAGATCTAGGTTCAAATTATGACTCTTATAATCCCTAGCTATCTAATTGTAGACAAATTCTTTAACCTTTGAGTTGACTCATCTATAAATTGAGGACACTAATAAAAACAAAATCAAAGTTAAGTGTGCCTATACATCATCGTTTCTAAAAACAGAAGTTAAATAAAACATTGTGCTAAATGTTAAAAAGTGAAACAACTGACATAGTGTCTGGCACATCATGATTACTATAATTATTTATTTAGGGGCCTTTATTGAAGGGGCTCAAGGGGTTCTGGCGGCGCATGGATAGCGTACTAAGCTGTGAACGGCAAGCTCAGCAGTTCAAACCCACTAGATACTCTATGGTACAAAGATGGGGCTGTCAGCTTCCATAAACTTTTCAAATGTCAGAAACTTACAAGGGCGAGTTCTACTCTACCCTATAGGCTGCTATGAGTGGGAACTGACTTGATGGCAGTAGGTGAGGGCTATTATATTGTTAGATGAGACTTGTCAAGACTCATAATTCTCTCACATAGTTAAGAACTGGCATCAGCCACGGGGAAATCTTTCATTTGAACAGAGAATCCAGGGGCTTGATTGAAATACAATAAACTATTATAATTAATGACACTGCTAAAGCAAGTGTCTACTACTGTTTTACTGATACAAATTAGGCAGGATCTCAGACTTCTGATTTAAAATTAATACCTACCTTTTCTTGCAAACAGAGAAAAGAGATGAGATGTAAAAAGTTAGATAGAACTCAACACATTTTCCACCAAAGTGACACAGAGCATCAGACACCATTCTTGTTGTGCTCCATTCAACTTATTATTTCGCCTTTTCTATCTAATGAAGGGAGATCACATCGTGGGTGCTGTAAACAACTGATGCGGAATGAAAGGCTGGATTGAAGCCCACCCTTCTAAGAGGTACCTTGGAAGAAAGGCCGGGTAATTTACTTCCCTGCAAACCGGCCATTAAAACCCTACGAAACACAGCTCTACCCTGAGACATGCTGCATTACTATGAATCAGAGTTGACTGTGGGCAGTCCCGTGGGCATTGGATTGGGCATTAACTACACAGATGGAAGAAAGCAACTGAAAACACCTCCTGACACAGGGCGAGGGTCTGCCATTTGGTCTAACACCAGAAACGACTCTGTGGCGCATAAAAGGCCAATCGTGTGGACAAAGATGTAACCAAAGAGTTTGATTTAATTTAAAAAGGTTTGTAAATGTACCTGCTTCTTTTAAAGTGCTGCATTTTTGATAGATAGATGTCCGCATGGTGGGAGCCCTTACGTTATACAGTCTTATCTTCTCAATACGAGAGTCAAAGACCCGAAGCAAAGGATCCTTCTCTTCCCATTGAGACATAATTTTATTATCAATGAAGGTGGCAAACATCTGGGTTTCAATGAAGCGTGACAGAAATGGTAGGTAAGGCTCAGGCTGGTCAGACAGAAAAGAAGCCTGGAAGGAGACAATTAGGACATGATTAGTGCAAACAGAGCATCTCAGTGCTAACTATATGATGACCTATTGCTAAGGTTATCATTCTTTTCTTTCACCTATTAATCTTAACATATAAAACTGACCCTCGACATTGAAAAACCCTGCCTTTTTGGTTTTTCTAAATTCACACCCTTTACAAGACTTAGGTCCCCAGTACTGATCTTACCTTTCCAAACTGGTTTACATTCTGATCCTTGTGGCCATTACCCTGTTTCCCCAAAAGTAAGACATCCCCCAAAAAGAAGACCGACTTACAGTTTTGCCTCTTGCTGAAATATAAGGCACTCCCCAAAAAAATAAGACCTCCCCCAAAATAAGGCACCCCGAAGCTACCATAACTCTGGATTCTAGACTGTGGTGGCAGGCGCCGCCACACAGCTCACTGTTGGCCGCAGCGCAGCCAGAGCAGACAGGAAGTGCGAGGTCTCTCTTAATAAATCAATAAACAATAAATGTGTACCGTATTCTTCTTCATGGAAAAATAAGACATCCCCTGAAAATAAGACCTAGCGCATCTTTGGGACCAAAAATTAATATGACACTGTCTTATTTTCTGGGAGACAGGGTATGTAGAAAAGAGGGCATCATTAATGGAGGTGATCGAGAAGCTGCAATATGATCTGCAATAACCCATTTGACTTACCATCAAATTTTTATCTCTTTCCCCTAACTGTGACTTCCTCTGCTCTCTATTCTTGGCCTTCCCAACCAAAGGCAGCTGGATTAACGGATAGAATGAAGTGTGTGCTAGCAACGACCTTGAACAAACAAGCATGGGATTTGTGCTTACAGACAAACTATTTTTCTTCTCCTTTCAACTGGATGCTTTTCTAAACCCTAACTCAGTTAGAAATGGATGGATAAACGCTAATTCGAGATCAAACTCTTGCCAGATCTGTGCTGACATTGTATAGTGTGGGTCTAAACAGCTACAAAGAGCATCGCCTGAGAAACCAGTGAAGAAACCTTTGGAAAATGTGCTACCAGCTTGTCCACTGCATGGAATGGGTCAGCAAAATGCAGTCCCAATATTCATGCCTTTCCTTTGTTCTCCAGGTCCATATCTGTGGAGGTACTCTAACCTCAGCTTGGTCCCCGGTGATCCTTGGAGGCAGTTACAATTTCAGTTGCCGGGTTGGTTTGCTCTGAAGTCTTTTGAGTAGACTCAGTGTGTGCAGTGGCTGTAAGGGGGAAGCTAGAAAATGAAGTTCTGATGGGAGGCCATTATTACTCCATATTACTCATCAGCTTCTCCCAGCATACTCACTTTCCATGTTGAAATGAGGTGTTCTTTTTAACTTCCTTCCAGAAACCAACTAACTCCTTTTAAGAGCCTCTGTAGTTTAGATGGATTTACATAAACCCAAAGATTCACAGTAGTCTCAAGAAATAAATTCATCTCTTCAAAAGGCATTTTATATATAAGTACGTATTTTGTTTTTTATAGAGAAACCAGTCCCTTTGCCCCACTTGTAAATGGGTGCGATGCGTACCTTTTTGTATCCAGACTCTGGAATACTATCATTTGAGGTCAGCAGAGATTTGTCTTGCAAAACTATTATATGAAAGTTCTGCAAATCTTCCCAGTAAAAATGAGATGGTTACAATTTTCCTGAACTCCAACATGAGTTTCTTTCTTTTTTTTTTTTTTAGGGATTATATAACAAGAACCCCATATATAGTTTGAAGCTACATAACGATTAAAAGGGAAGCTCTCAAATTAGATAAGAATTTGAATGGCCGCAAGGATAAACCAGGCGTGTATACAGATTAGCTGCAAGCTGGATAGAAAAAAAGAAATAAAGGGCTAAGTTTAATGAGAAAGGTACTGAAGTGCAGGGCTGTATTTGGAGAACTGAAAGCGTTTTTAGTTTAAGAACATTCTCAAACATAAAGTTCACCTGAACTTAACTGCTTAAGGTAGTAGCTAAATCCTCTGCCAGAAAAAAACTACCTGAGGAAATCTTTTATACTATCCACCTTGACACCAATTTTAAGTCAACCCTACTTGTCAGATGTCACAAGATTTCGGATGAGGCTCCTGCAGCGGTTTAGCCGCCTCAGAAAGTCTTTCATGACACAAGATACCATGGAGTGAAAAGTCATAATTGTCCTACGGCACTATCATGCCTTGGGCATTAGAGGCGGGGCCTGAACTGTGCCCCGGTGACCTGAACGAGTTAATGCACACCGCAGGTGCTTTTGTCTGCAAAACTAATATGGAAATGTGCCAAGGAAGCCTGGCAGAACAAGGTCTGTCAGCATTGGGGAGATGAATAATATTCTGTATGAATCAGAATTCATTCAACGGCAGTGAATTTTTGTTTTGTTTTTGGAGAGGGTAGATTGGGGGGCGGGGGCGGGAGATAACCTTAAAAAACAGCTTCAGCTTTAGCAGGACACTCACCTAAAACTGACCTATAATTCTAGCACACAGCCTTACAACTAGCATCATAAAACCAAATTTATTCACTCTTACTCTCTTTTGAGCTTACAAGTTAAACATTTGGCTTCTGAAACTAAACGGTTACCTTTACTCTGACAAGTTGTGACTTCATAATAGGATAAAGACAAGAGGAAAGTAAGAATAAAGACTAGAAAAGGGATAGGCCTCGTTTCATTAGCTTGGTTATTAATAGATTAGTAAAATTATCTCATTTTAATTAGCTTGATTAATAGATAAGTATAATTTACGGAAGGCCAGACAGTACTAAGAGATTTGAAAAACCTGTAAAACTTAGGCGTTCTTGCAATTCAAGCATTAACGAAATATAGAACAAGTTCTTATGAAATTCTTTTATCTAGTGTAAGACATGGTAAAGAATGGGAAAAGAGGGGAAGAGAAATCTGTCCTTGAAAAAGTTAACAAAATCAATAAAGCAGCCCACTCAGATCCCAATAAAAAATGAAAACAGTAGCTCTTTTTACTTTGTCAAAGTTCTGCATCTGTTCCCGATTGGTCAGCCAGGATTCCATGTCCTGGGCAGTCTGAATCACAAACGCTTCATAATCCGCAAACATCTGCGTGAAGCGGTTGGCGAAGACCTCTCGGAGCTGCACGTTGAGTTTGTAGTCCCTCAGTTCTGCCTCTTCGCACTGGCGTTTCAGATCTCTTTCCTTTTCATCCGGAGGGGCGGGCAGCTCCATTTTCTCCATAGCCACGCCGGTCCTCTTGGCAAGAGCCTGGAGGCGGGCCATGGTCTCGTTGCCCTGGAGGAACTCAAACACGCTGAGGCTACCGGTGGACACGTTGCCGTTCTTCTTGTCGTTGACCAAGTCTTTCAGAACCAGATTCTTCAGCTGGGTGGCGCTCTCACTGCAGTGCAGGCTGCCCTCTGGAGGGATCCCAAACTGAAGAAGAACTTCAGAGAGTTCCTGGATCAAATCTACCTTGTTGGGGAACTGTGGAAATTCCTCAGGCAGCTCAATAAAGTGGTTATCGATATCCACAAAACACAAATTAGCCTGAAAAAGAGAGAAATATAAAGGCTTTAAAAGAAAGGAATTTAGGATCTAAAGCACTCTTGCTAACTATTATAACCAAAAACTTATTGCCTTTTATGGTAACCATCTCACGGTTCAGAATATTTTAAAAAGAAATAAATCTCATAACTTATGACAAAACTGTAATAATCTATGAATTATGAAGGTTTCAGGAGGGAGGGGGAGGGGGAGAGAGGGGGAAAATGAGCAAACAATATTGAGGGCTAAAGTAAAGGGCAAATGTTTTGAGATTGATGAGGGCAACAGGTGTACATATGTGCTTGACTCAATGGATGTATGTATGGACTGTGATAAGAATTGTACAAACCCTCAATAAAATAATTTAAAAAAAAGAATGAGGGTAACAAATGTACAAATGTGCAAATGTGCTTTACAATTGATGTATGTATGGATTGTGATGAGTTGTATGAGCCCCAATAAAATGACTTTAAAAAAAAAAAAGAGAAAGAAATCTCCTTTGCTGGCATTTTCCTCTGTGTAAATATTTGTATACCAAGTTAAGACGCAGCACTTGCAACCCAGGAGAGCCCAAACTCTACGGCACTGTCTTGTTTTTCTTGGGTCTCACAAGTTGGACAGAGGGCAGTCTGTAACATTTTTCTATTGCTTGTTTCAGTGGAAAATATGTGGTTTTCCTTCTAGGGCAGGTTTCTCCCTTACATAGCCTCTGGCTTTCACACATTTTATTGTATATGAATATTTTCTGAATCTCAGTAATTTAATATAATCCCAACCTGTTTCTCTAATATTTGGCATCTCTTAAACCACTGCTGTCAATTCGAACATATGTTGACCCTATAGGACAGAATTAAGGGCCCTAGTGACATAGTGGCTTTTGCACTCAGCTACTAGACAAAAGGTCAGCAGTTCAAATCCACCAGTAGCTCTGAGGGCGACTGTCTACTCCTGCTGCAAAGATTTAAAACTCTAGAAAACCCAAAGGGGAAGTTCTACTCTATTATATGGGTTTGCTGTGAGACAGAATTGACTTGATGGCAGTTAGTTTGATTTAGGGCAGAGTAGAACTGTCTCATAGTGTTTCCAAGGCTACACAGCCATAGCTTTCTCCAATGGAGTGGCTGATGGGTTTGAACCGCCGACTTTTCAGTTAGCAATCCAGTGCAATAGGTTGCTAAATGGGAAAAGGTGCCCACTCATAGTACCTTACACATGGAAGGCACTGGGTAAAAAACCTACTGACTGAGCTTTAAGTTTCTATTCCACTGCCTTCACATCATCTGTAACTCAGAATTGACAATAATGGCTAAAATCCGGTAGTTGCAGTCTTCCAAAATGGGATGAAATTGGCAAGATCAATCAAATTCACAGTTAATACATAAATTTTCATTTTATCTAAAATTAGCTTTAATTTCCTGGACAGCAAAATCATTTTAGAAGCCATCAGACGAACAGCAGGAGGCAGAGAAAGGTGGGGGAGGTAAGTGCTTAGGTAACAACCAATGACTAGCCCTTGAATAATTAAAGAGTTGACTCAAAAGATGCTTATGAGATTAAAAAAAAAGGTGACAGAAATCAGAGGAAGGGAACTTTTGGTTGTTTTTGTTTGTTTGCTGTGCTTACACTCTAGATTTTGAATTAGAGGCACAGCAAAATAAAAAAGCTTTATTTTTATTTTTTATTTTTATTTTTTATAAAAAAGCTTTTAAGTGCCTTTCAAGTTGTGCACTGGGGAAATTTTTAGGGACCAAGGGTCTGCACATAATTATCATCAGTCCTCAGGTTTTAAGGAATTTCCTTCCCCCCTACTTTTCCTTGTCATCAATGTTAGCAACTTTCTCTTAAATAAAGTAAGGGCTGAAACCCTCAGAGCTTGCTAAAGAGCAGTGCTAACTACTGCATTCTTTACCTCCACGTCTGTATAAATGAGTACAGGCTTAGAAAAGCGGTGAACATTGAAAGGCTCAGCAGAGAAACTAGGTCACTACAATTCAAATCAACGAAGGGTGACCCAGTACACATCTTTAAAAATGGAAGAAAAAGAATCACTAACCTGCTAATCTAAATGTTCGCCAACAGCTCACCTCATTTGCAATCTCTACTGTCTCCTTCAGCAATGCCTTCCTATCTTTTCTAGCCCTCTCTTACTTCCATGAAAAGAGAACACAATCCATCTCTGAAAACGTAAAGCTCTTGGCGATCATGCAATGAACTGCTGAGCTGAAGGTCTATCTTAGGTATGTGTTCCTGGCCTGGTCTGCATGTTCCTACAAGAATGTCTCATACCCTCCAATGTCTGCTTAGAAGGGCTCCAGCTGAGGGCGTGGATGAGCACAAAATAGAACCAGAAAATACAAACTTGAATATAAAATTCAAGAAAATAAAAATCCCTTTTAGGAAACAAACAAAAACTCCACAGAGTAAGGAAGACAATTCTGATCAATTGCTTTCTCACTTTTACCCCAAACCCAAGCCCCCTGCTGTCAGCCTGATCCTATAGGGTCTCCAACTCTGTTTAAGTCTCTACTGATCAGCAGCCTCATCTTTCTCCCTCGTAGCAGTTGATGGTTTCCAAACACCCAACACCTACAGAACCACCAGGGCGCCTTCCCATGGAGATTACTGTTATATTTTTAAAAAAAATTGTATCGGAAGAGCTCCAGATGTATTGAATTTAAAATATTCCCTGTACACCTCAATCAACATGAAGATTAAATGTTTCTACTGATCAACACTGCCCACAAACTCTCATATGTAATTGCTTCCCATTAACACCACAGGGTTTCCTGACTATAATCTTTATGAGAACAGATTGTTAGGTCTCTTCTCTTGAGAAGCCTCTGATGGGTTCTAACCGGTCAGCAGCTGAACACTTCATCAGTGCACCATCAGGGCTCCTTAAATCAATGGACGTCCTACCAGAACAAAGAGCATGGGCTTGAAGTTGAACTAGCCCTTCTTCAGTTAAGCCTTCCTTTATCCCTGCCATAGTATAGGCATTTGATCCCCTCTGTGTGTTTAGTTCATTCATTCCTCTTTGAAAAACAAAAACCCTGTGCTATGGATATTTGTAAATGATTCTTGTAAATGATCACCTCTTATTCACTTTGATATTTCCCAATGTACTGGACATACGTATTTGGTGAATGTTTGCTTAAAGAAATGGTGAATGATGGGGGAGTGCCGAGTGGAGACCCAAAGCCCATGAGTAGGCCACTGGAGATCCCCTTGCAGAGGGGTCTCGGGGAGGAGACAAGTCAGTCAGGGTGCAATGTAGCAACGATGAAAAATACAACTTTCCTCTAGTTCCTAAATGTTTCCTCCCCGCTCCCACTATCACGACACGAATCCTACCTTACAAGTCTAGCTAGACCAGAAGATGTACACTGGTACAGATAGGAACTGGAAATACAGGGAATCCAGGGCAGATGATCCCTACAGGCCCAGTGGTGTGAGTGGCGATACTAGGAGGGTAGAGGGAGAGTGGGTAGGAAAGAGGGAACCGATTAAAAGGATCTATATATGACCTCCTCCCTGGGGAACAGACAACAGAAAAGTGGGTGAAGGGAGACATCGGACAGGGCAAGATATGACAAAATAACAATTTATAAATTATCAAGGGCTCATGAGGGAGGGAGGGGAAAAATGAGGACCTAATGCCGGGGGCGTAAGTGGAGAGGAAATGTTGTGAGAATGATGAGGACAATGAATGTACAAATGCGCTTTTACACAATTGATGTATGTATGGATTGTGATAAGAGTTGTATGAGCCCCAAATAAAATGATTAAAAAAAAAAGAAATGGTTATGGGGGGGATTATAAATTTATAAATTATCAAGGGTTCATGAGGGAGGGAGGGTGGGGGAGGAGGGAAAATGAGGAGCTGTTATCAAGGGCTCAAGTAGAAAGAAAATGCTTTGAAAATGATGATGGTAACCTATGTACAAACGTGCTTGACACAATGGATGTATGTATGGACTGTGATGAGTTGTTTGAACCCTCAATAAAATGATTTTTAAAAATTCACTGAACCAAGTAAAAAAATGTGCTTGACACAATGGATGTATGTCTGGATTGTGCTAAGAGCTATACAAACCCCCCAATAAAATGATTTAAAAAGAAATGGTTATCTGGGGGCACCCCAAAAATGTAGTGGAGAGAAAGAAGTAGCCAGGAATGTGAGACTGAAGTAGCTCTCTGGATATACTTCATAAGGGACCTAGGTTCTCAGTGACAAATTTAAGCTCGCAAGAGCGTAAGATATGTTAGGAAGAAAGTAGCAAAAGCAGGTCTGTCTAACACTGTCTTGATTCTTTGTGCACAACTATGCAAAGATGAGCAAGAATGGTATAAAGTGAGGTCCTACTTTATGCAGTGACTCCTCAGGGCTGTGTACTTCCACCCTCAATCCTCCTACCCTTCAACCTCCAAAACAATGCAGCAAATGACCCCCTGCGCTGATCTTTTGGACTCATGGGGAAAGTGGGTGGGTGGTTAATTATAAGTCTCCAGCCACAAGCATAACCACGATCATGCTTTCCTAAAATAACCATTTCATAAACTTGTCAATTTTAGAACTACGTTAAGAATCTCTATCCCTATTTTTAGTCCTTTTTTTATTTCAGAGTTATCAAGAAAAGGGGGAGGAAAGTGTTACTAGTGAGTATGTTTAAGCTGCTTTTAAAAATTGCTATTTTATGCCTACTTCCTCCCCACAAATTATGTGAAATCAATTATTTGAACTCATTATAAACGATACCAGAGCTGGGTGGCACAGTTTTCCAATTTTCTTCTAAAACGACAATGCACTAATGTATGGTTTTTACAGAGAAGTCCTGAGAGTTTCAGAGCTGACTCAAGTGTCTCTTATTATTCTACTTTATGGGTAGAGGGTAGACTATTCATTAAGGAGTGTTGATTTATGATAAAAATGAAAAAAAATTCAAAGCTGTTACTGCAAGAGTACTGGAATTTGGCTAGATTTGCTAACATTTGTAGACCTTTCCAGTCAGAAGATAAATACATGCATAAGACAGGGAAAAATGTCCCTATTACACTCACAAACTCCAAACCGAACACTGACTCACAGCAAGCCCCACGGACAGAGAACCGCCCCAGCTGAGTCTCCAAGGCTACATACACATTCTTTCTCCCAGTTCAAAACGCACGGGGGTTTTACCACGCCTGTGGAAAATGCAGATGAAAGACAATGGACTATCTCCATAAGTTGGTTTTCTCCCCCAACGTTTTTTGAAAGAGCCCCTCGTATATCAGGTGATACTTGGAACGTTCTCAGCAAAATTGGAAAGGCAATATTTATGAAACCAAACAAAATGTCTTATAAAATATAATTTGGTTAACATCCAAAATGGACTACATACTTATTAAGAAACCAAAATATATCATTACTTAGGTAAGACAAAATCCATTTTGTTCGCGTAATTCTCTTAAGTTTTTAGAGATTTACTTATTCAAACCTATGAGATACTGGAGATTACGTGAATGAAAGATGCAAAGGTGTCGGCTCATCAAGTAGAAAGAGGGGGCAAACAGAGAAGGTAAGAGCAGAGCACATAAACAAACCCACATTTAAGAATAAGGCAGCGTTCACGCTTACTTAATCCAAACTAAGTCAAGCTGTTTTCTCTGGAAATACAAATGTTAACTTTGGTAAGAACACACTCATTAGAATAAAAGCAAGCAATAGATGATTACAGGAATCATTTCCAGGTATAATATTCACATGGCTATGACTGGATGTACTACTGTCAATTCACTTATTAAAATGAGAATCTCCACAGGAAATAAGAAGACATAAAAGTGAAGCACAGCATGAGAAACTTCATTAAGAAAGGTGCTAATTAAAGAGCTAATAATATAATGTAATTAACCATTTTGTGTTTTTACTGGGCCGCTGCAGAACCCTCATCAATATTTAAATTTAAAGGCTTTGCTTGGCAATTTGGAGTACCATAACAACAAGGTAAACAGTAGATTCAAAACGCTTTTTGAAATGTCGGCTTTTTTTTTTTCTTAAGCAGCATTTTAAAATACCACACATAGAAAGCAGAGTCACATGAAGGTGCACTGGGACAGGGGCTAGATTTTTTTTATCACAGCCACCCAGCTAACTTGACATTTAGAACAGGTTTCTAACTGGCCTTAGGTCTGGAAACAGAGAGTCAAGAACATTTGCTTTCCCTCACCCCTGGATTGGGGAGAGACGCTACTTTCCACTTGGCAGAAGTCAAGGATCAAGGGCATCTTAGTTCATCCAATGACTTAAAAAGGTGTTAAAACCTGGCCTGTTTTATTTAAGAACAAAACTTATAACACAATTAGGAAAAAGAAAGGAGCGCCATTAGAATAAGAAACAATGAGATAATGCTATCAATGCTCCATCTTCACAAATGTTAAGTCTGAACATTTGTTCTTTGTCCTGTCTTGAACCATGTCTATTAGTTGTGTGAGCAATCATGAAGAGCCAGGATCTGCTTGGCCTCTACCCTACAAGTCTTGGGAAAGGGAGGATAGTCAAGAGAGTCACAATCGGGACACATGCACTGTTACCAAAAAGCCCGGTAGCCTTTATCTACATGGATACACAGCAAATGCTTCAACTTTCATGTCCAAGTTTTACCTCTTGAGGAAGTTCTAGTTTAGAACGGTCAGTTCCTTCTTTTGACTGAAGGCCCATCAGATAAGGCACAGGAGCATCAAGAAAGTGCAGCAGGGAAGCAGGGAGGATGGGGACATAGACGTGCTGCCACTGAAACGGGAACAGCAGAGCGGTGATGCCTTCCGCCACCATCATCAAGCGTTGGTAATCTGCACAGAACAAGAGAACATCGGGGGGAAGAGTCCAAGTAAAAACATAATCACTGTATTATATAGTCTGCAAGATACCAATTTCCAGAAAAACAAAAACAAACTGTTTCTTTCCAATCATGTAGAGAATAGGTCGGTTCTATTCCATCATCATTAAAAAGTTACAAAGTTTTACTTAAATGGCAAGTGACTTGGAGGTGTGGGCAGGTGGAAAACATCATCACCCTCTTTGTTTCTTAAAATCATTGTATGCGCATACAGATTCCCTTACAATGTCATCAAGGAAGAATCAAATGCAGAAGATGCAGTGTATTTATTACCGCTCACCTTTCATATCATGTGTATCTATGTAATCTTCCAGCTCAGAGGTTCTTTTCCCCCCTTTGCATGGCTAATTCCTAAACTGTACCTATACCTATCATATTTACTGTAGTCTTCTTTGTGGGTGGATGAAAACAAACAGATATACATTCATAGCCACATGCCTATATTTAACCCTCAACTGTGTTTGCTTTTAAAAAACAAATTGAACTATCATATCAAAAAACAAAGTGGGAGTCATACCAGAAAACTAAAGATTTGACTTTTGTTGTGCTTTGTTAAATATACACTCATTTATCAAAACTAAAAACTGCTACCATTTTGTAAAATCACTTAGTAAGGATATGTTAAACTTTTATATACAATCCCTATAAAATATTGGCTGCATGTGCCTTTAATTTAGAAAGGTAATGTGGTACATATACCATAAATTACAAAATATCAAGGGAACTCTTGTAATCAAGCACATTAATACATAGTACACTATCAAAACATATGAGTACTGCTACCAAGGCAGAAAACCAAAGAATATAATCAAATAGGGTCACTTTGGTTCAGACCAGGCTTTGCTGATAGAGAAGTTACCAAGAGAACGTTGCTGTTAGAATTTGTGGACGTGAGCACTGAACTAACGGACTGTGGATTTGAGACACTCTTCTTCCAGACTGTTGTGTAGAACCTGAGTGAAATCTGGTGGAGGCAGGCTGGGGCCATCTTGATCAAAAAGGTTAATGATGCTACTTAGTTCACATCAACACTAACACCTGGCCAAGCAGACCCGGGAGGCTTTCCATTTAGAATGTTTGTCACTTTATAACTTATAAATGACTACCTGTAGTAATCTGCAATAGGATTCATGTGACTTTAATAATACCATAAGCTGTTTATAACCCATGTATACATAAAATTTTCCTTATGAGAGTCCTCATTAAGACTTAACGTTTCAGTGAAAAATTGATTACAGGACTACTTCAGCGTGAAAAACAAGCACAGGGTGACCTGAGAGGTAGGGGTCAGTTGTTTGAGCACAAAGAACTAACCAAATTATCAGGGGGGAGGGAAAACACACACACATATTGCGTGCAGGGGGTGAAGGGGTGGCCCACCACTGTGCTGGTGAACAGGCAAAGGTGGGCCTGCAAGTGCTGGGGTCCTTTGTCACAGGGGTCAGGACAGGGATGGAGAGCTGACCTGAAGCCCCTGAAGCTGTAGCAGCTCAGAGCACGTGCTCCGCTCAGCACTAACTGCAGCCCTGCACCCCCACAGGGCCCTATTCTGACCCTTGTCGCAGGGGCCTGCCTCTGTCCCACCGCGGGATTCCTAAAGGCAGTGATATCCATTTTACTTCATTTTGCTCCATGAAGTATAGGACCAGCTTACTTAAAAACAAAACCCCAAAGCCACTGCCAATGAGTTGATGTGGTTAGCAATCCAGTGCTGACTTGACAGTGTGGCCAGCACCTACAATGGAAAGCACATGACAAATATACTTAATGGACAACTAAGAGAGCTTACTATCAGGAGTGAAAGGCATGCAGCTGACTGACCATAAAAAAAAGCCAAATTCAGGGACCATTCTCAGTTTCTATTCTGATGCTAACCACTTTGAGCCACGGATGGGAGCCTTTCTGCTTTTATAACCTCAGCACTTAGTACAATATCTGGCATATAACAGGTGCTCAATATAGATTTAATATAGCACGGGAAGAACATGAGACAGACAGACGTGTTTGGATTTTTGTCCATACAAGATCGAACGTTTCAGGAGAAGAAAATGGCTAACTACTCAGACAAGAAACCGTTTACTGAAAATTCACATTTCCTGGGATGACTATATATACAGATGACTGGGTGCCTGCCCGGGCATATGATAAGGAAAAACCAACTACTCATTTACTAGGCTATTGCTCATCACACAGAGAAGTGTCCCCAGGTGACTCATTCCACTTATGCCTAAGTAAACTGGTAGAAAATGTTAGCATTTGCTGGTGAAATCTAAGGCAGGTGTTTCTCAGAGCCCGTCCACAGCGGGGCAGAACTCTTCCAGAGTCTCCATCCCTTTCTGGAAGTGCTAGAGAGCACAAACACAGAAAATGGTACCACATGTTACTCTTCACATTTGAGGGAGAGAAAAAGTCCATTGAAAATGAACAGGATAAAAACACAGCCTCATATTTACGTCAACATGTTATGATTGGACTGCATACTATGTCCTTATGTGAGCTACTACAGAAATAATTTGACTTGTCTGTATTTGCTAATTTTTAATTGATACTTTATTGTAGATTTTCATGTGATATTATAGCTACAAAAAAGTTATATAAACTAGTTTTAGGAGGGGCTTTTGGAGTACTGTTCAGGTTTAGTTTTCCAAGACAATCCCTTCTTTTAATAAAGCCTTTCTGGTTTCAGGCATCGAAGACCCAGAACAAAAAAATCGTATCAATGTGAATGAAGGGGGGGCACAGAGCGGAGACCCAAAGACCATCTGTAGACAACTGGATATCTCCTTACAGAAGGGTCACAAGGAAGAGACGAGCCCAGTCAGGTGCAGTATTGCACTGATAAAACATCCAACTTTCCTCTAGTTCTTTAATGCTTCCTCCCCCCACTATCATGACCTTAATTCTACCTTACAAATCAGACTAGATCAGAGCATGTACATTGGTACAGATCAGAGCTAGAAACACAGGGAATCCAGGACAGATAAACCCCTCAGAACCAATAATGAGAACAGAAATACCAGGAGGGGAAGGGGAAGTTGGGTGGAAAAGGGTGAACCAATCACAATGATCTACATATAACCCCTTCCCAGGGGGATAAACAACAAACGAGTGGGTGAAGGGAGACAGCAGTCGGTGTAAGACATGGGGGGAAATTTTTATAAATTATCAAGGGTTTATGAGGGAGGGAGGGTGTGGGAAGAAGGAGAAAAAATGAGGAGCCCATACCAAGGGTTCAAGTAAAAAGAAAATGTTTCGAAAATGATGGCAATATATGTACAAATGTGCTTGACACAATAGACGGATGTATGGATTGTAATAAGAGCTGTAAGAGCCCCCAATAAAATGAATTTTTAAAAAGTCTTTCTGACTTGGTTAGTTCTTTAAAAATACATACTTTATTTCGCATTTTGAGTCTTGAAGGTATAAATGATGACAGAGTTCCCTGGTGCCACCGGTATTTTTAGAAGGGAAAGTTGTGCAGTTGCAGTTCCCAAACTCTTTTAAAGTCTGAATTTTGTTCGCTGATTGGCCTTCACTCTATACCCACCTTCACCCAAGCATAGATTCTGGTGCATGCACCTTTTGAGGTCTCATTTCTGTTAAGTTTTCAGGTAACTTGCCTCATTCTTTGTCCCAGTTTTTTTTTTTTTTTTTTTTTTTCTTCTCAATTTGGTGAAGATGCACATTTCTCTGTTGCCAAGCCTGGATGTGCTTCAGTACACTTTCAATCTCAGGGCAATGGTTTCATGGGCTCAGACATTCCCCTTCCATGGCTCATAAAATCTAGGTCAGCGATTGTATTAGTCTAGGTACTTCAGAGAAACAAATCCACAGCAACTCATGTATAAGAGAGTTTTATGTAAAGAAAGAGTGCATCACGAAAACATTCCAACCCAATGCTGCCCAAGCCCACAAGTCAAACATTAACACATTTACCCAACACCAGTCCACAAAGTCCTAACATTAACCCAACACCAGTCCACAAAGTCCTCCACCTCACAAAACAGAGGCAATGATGCCAACTGCAGGAGGAAAGCTGAGTCAGTGAACCAATAAGCATCTCAGCACTAGCAGGGGTCTCCACAC